TCAATAAACGTAATCCATCACATAAACAGAACCAATGACAAAAACCACATGATTATCTCAATAGATGCAGAAAAGGCCTTTGACAAACTTCAACAGCCCTTCATGCTGAAAACTCTCAATACACTAGGTATTGATGGAAGGTATCTCAAAATAATAAGAGCTATTTATGACGAACCCACAGCCAGTATCATGCTGAATGGCCAAAAACTGGAAGCACTCCCTTTGAAAACTGGCACAAGACAAGAATGTCCTCTCTCACCACTCCTATTCAACATAGTGTTGGAAGTTCTGGCCAGGGCAATCAGGTAAAACAAAGAAATAAAGGCTATTCAGTTAGTAACAGAGAAAGTCAAATTGTCTGTTTGCAGATGACATGATTGTATATTTGGAAAATCCCATCATCTCAGCCCAAAATCTCCTTACACTGATAAGCAACTTCAGTAAAGTCATAGGATACAAAATCAATGTGCAAAAATCACAAGCATTCCTATACACCAATAATAGACAAACAGCCAAATCATGAGTGAACTCCCATTCACAACTGCTACAAAGAGAATAGAATACCTAGGAATACAACTTTCCAGGAATGTGAAGGACCTCTTCAAAGAGAACTACAAACTACCACTCAAGGAAATAAGAGAGGACACAAACAAATGGAAGAACATACCATGCTCATGGATAGGAAGAATCAGTGTCGTGAAAATGTCCATACTGCCCAAAGTAATTTATAAATTCAATGCTATCCTCATCAAGCTACCATTGACTTTCTTCACAGAATTGGGGAAAAAACTACTTTAAATTTCATATGGAACCAAAAAAGAGCCCACATAGCCAAGACAATCCTAAGCAGAAAAAACAAAGCTGGAGTCATCACACTGTCTGACTTCAAACTATACTACAAAGCTACAGTAACAAAAACAGCATGGTACTGGTACCAAAACAGATACATAGAACAATGAAACAAAACAGAGGCCTCAGAAATAACACTACACATCTACAACTATCTGATCTTTGACAAACCTGACAAAAAGAAGCACTGGGGAAAGGATTCCCCATTTAATAAATGGTGTTGGGAAAACTGGCTAGCCATATGCAGAAAGCTGAAACTGGATTCCTTCCTTACGACTTATACAAAAATTAACTCAAGATGGATTAAAGACTTAAACGTAAGACCAAAAACCATAAAATCCCTAGAAAAAACCTAGGCAATACCATTCAGGACATAGGCATGGGCAAAGACTTCATGACTAAAACACCAAAAGCAATGACAACAAAAGCCAAAATTGACAAATGGGATCTAATTAAACTAAAGAGCTTCTGCACAGCAAAATAAACTATCATCAGTGTGAACAGGCAACCTACAGAATGGGAGAAAATTTTTTGCTGTCTCTCCATCTGATATACGGCTAATATCCAGAATCTACAAAGAACTTAAACAACTTTACAAAAATAAAACAAACAGCCCCATCAAAAAGTGGGTGAAGGATATGAACAGACACTTCTCAAAAGACAACATTTATGCAGCCAACAAACATGAATAAAAGCTCATCACTTGTCATTGAAGAAATGCAAATCAAAACCACAATGAGATACCATTTTATGCCAGTTAGAATGGCAATCATTAAAAATCAGGAAACAACAGATGCTGGAGATGATGTGCAGAAATAGGAACACTTTTACATTGTTTGTGGGAGTGTAAATTAGTTCAACCATTGTAGAAGACACTGTGGCGATTCCTCAAGGATCTAGAACTAGAAATACCATTTGACCCAGCAATTGCATCACTGGGTATATACCCAAAGAATTATAAATCATTTTACTATAAAAACACATGCACACGCATGTTTATTGTGGCACTGTTCACAATAGCAGACTTGGAACCAACCAAAATGCCCATCAATGATAGACTAGATTTTAAAAAGTGCCACATATACACCATGGAATACTATGCAGCCATAAAAAAGGATGAGTTCATGTCCTTTGCAGGGACGTGGATGAAGCTGGAAACCATCATTCTCAGCAAACTAACACAAGAACAGAAAACAAACACCACATGTTCTCACTCATAAGTGGGAGTTGAACAATGAGAACACATGGACACAGTGGGGCATCACACACCAGGACCTGTTGGGAGGTCGGGATAGCATTAGGAGAAATACCTAACGTAGATGACGAGTTGATGGGTGCAGCAAAAACCACCATAGCACATGTATACCTGTGTAACAAATCTGCACATTCTACACATGTACCCAGAACTTAAAGTATAATAAAAAAGGACATACATTCAAGTACCCAGTGTAATACTTGATGCATAGTCAGTGCTTTATAAATAACTATAAAGCTATTAATAGTATCATTGTTGAGTACCTACTATCTGCCGAGCACATGTATTAACTAATTTTACCATTTCACCAACCTTATGAGAATTGTGCTTTTATGTGTGAAGTAACTGAGCCACAATAAGTCTAAGGAACTTGGCCGAAGTGCACAGCTAAACAGGGCTGGAATCTGGATCCAGACCCCTTGCAAGCACAGTGTTGGTATTGACCCACTAGTTCTTCCTTTTACTTCTGGGCAACTTGGAGTGTGGTGTTTTTCTCTCTCAGAAATGTCATGTTATCTTTTCTGCTTAACACATTTATCCTGGCTTGAATTAAATGTCTGTAAATGTGACAATCTAAATTCCACAGACATCAAATGACACTATTTTTTAGTAAAGTACCATGGACAAGTTTAAGGGACTCATAATTCATTCATTGTGCTCTTATTGAGTGTAAAAATCATGTGTTTTCTAAGAGGGCAAAGTTATAACTTGGAAGAAAGTATGAAGCCAGCAGGTCTCAGGAGAGAAAAGGAGCTTAAAACAATGCAGTGTTTCTGATTGCCACAGTCAATGAAATTATGGAAGCTTACTTATAAAGGGACTTGTGAAAAAAAGTGATTTGAGGCCTGGCACCATGGCTCATGCCTGTTATCCTAACACTTTGGGAAGCTGAGGCCAGAAGATCGCTTGAGCCCAGGAGTTCGAGACCAGCCTGGTCAACATGATGAAACCCTGTCTCTACAAACAGAAATTAGCAGGGTGTGGTGGTGTGCACCTGTAATGCTAGCTACTTGGGAAGCTGAGGCAGGAGGATCACTTGAGCCCATGAGGTTGAGGCTGCAGTGAGCTGTGATTGCATCACTGCACTCCAGCCTGGGTGACAGAGCCAGACTGTCTCAAAAAAAAAAAAAAAAAAAAAGTGACTTGAGGCAAATTTCTTCGTTTAAGTGGTCATGTTTTATTTCTACATTAGTACTTGAAAAATCTTATTAGTGGAGCTTTCTGTACTTACCCATAAACCTCAGCTGCTCTTTTTCAGCATGAAGTATGTAATAACATCTGTATATGCCAAGTTAACAAAAGCTTTTTCCTGCTGTCACTTCATTTTAAAACACTCTTTCAGTGAGCGTATGTCGCAGTAACTGCACGTACTTCTGCCCCCAAGGAGAGAACGCCGCCTCCCTTCTCCTAGGAGTATCGGATATGTGGTCACATTCACCATGTTCTGAGCATTTTGCAAAGTAGTTGTACATCTCCCCTTTCCCTGAGGGGATTAGCCAAGGAACTGAATTATTCATTGCTTGAGAAAGATTAAATTGTGTTTTTATTTAACACCAGGTCTAATTATCGATGCTTTTGGAGAACTAAGAGACCAACAGGAACAAGTCAAAGAAGACATGGAGGTAAGCTTCTCCATTCATGACTCAGCCTTTTTGTTGTCCTGGGCCCTGGTTTTCCTTACTGCCTTTATCGAGAGAATCATGAATGTGGGAAGGAGGAGGGGAAAGGGCACAACTCGTGGTTTCACTAGCCTGTTTTCCATTCAAGCAATACATATAGTTGAACAGCGTGGTCGGCTGAAACTGTGGTGGACCCCACGTGCATGCAAACAGCGATAGGACACCGTCCTTTCCCTCCAGAAGTGAGACTATTCATTCAAAACCAAAGATTCAATGACAAGTAAACAGATGATTACAGAGCAGTGTGGTGAGTCCTTTATAGGAGTAAAACCCTGAGTGCTAGGGTCTCCAGGGCTGGTATCTGAGTCACTCCTGGATGGTCAGGGAATTTCCTAGAAGAAGGGATGTCTGAGCTGAGGCCTGAAGACTGTGGAAGTCTGTGGGTTTGAAAAGGAAAGAGGAGGACAGTTTGGGCAACCTCCCACCCTCTTCTCCCACACCATGGACGTCTCCAGGGGTACCATTCACAATAGGATCTTTGAGCCCATCACCACCTGAAATTATATACCAAGACTGATTTTAGGGAATTTGATGCACAGGTTTTTTTCTTAGCAGCCTCGGTGCTACCAGATGCAGATTTAATTCTGAGGCCGGGGCTGGAGAGGAAGACCAGTGAATGAAGAACCTAATCACTCATTTGAGAAATTTACAGTTTAATATATGGGCTGTGGGAAACACGAAAAGGGCTTTAGGCAGGGCACTCAGATGATCAGATTTGCATTTTTAAAAGATCACTGGTTTAAAATGTGAGGCATGAACTCAAAACTGGCAAGAACAGGGACAGGGAAGTGAGCTGTCAGCATTTTCCAGGTGGGAGCCTCTGAAGCTTTTGCTAAAGAGGTGCCACCTGGGAGCTGGGCAAGTACTGCCTGAATCCATCTTGTTCCTGCATCCTTAGTGAGGGACTTGGTGATTGGCCAAATGCAGAGGATGGAGAGGATGGAGCAAGCAAGGGGATATCCAGGTTTCAGGCATTAGCCACCAGAGGGATGGTGGCATAGTTAGCTGACACAGGTAACCCAGAGGAAGAACAGGTTCATCAGTAAAGCTGACGAGTGTGATTTGAGCCAGTTCAATGGAAGAGACGTCATTGGAGTGGTATGAAGACCTGATCGATTATTCTCCCCAGTTGCTCAATGTGGCCTATCAGCTGTCAGCAGATAGTGATCAATAAGGCAGGAAGAATTTTATATGCTATGATAATCATCTTGATTGTAGTTCCTAAAATACAGGACCTCATAAACATGCTTCAGATGGCATAAAACAGCTTACAACTGGTAGGGAAAGATGAGCACCAGAGTCACATGGGACAATTATTGAATACATTTGAAATGATACATGTACAATTCCAATAATAAAATAGGGGGTCTGCTTCTCCTTGGGTTTTGTGGACCAGGCCTGTCTGCAAGGAGCAGACCTAAGCAGGTGCCTCTCTACAGGCTGCTTAGGAGAGGCATGGTCCAGAGAAAGTGGAACCAAGACGACCAGGAACCTGGTCCCTAGAGTTGAAAGTTGTTCTCCATACACATCCACTGGCTAATTCTGTACCTAGCACAGCACCTGGCAGACCCTCACTGAATTGGAGATGGGATGCCTCATAGCTTGATATTTGATTTGGCCTTTTCTAAAGGAAAGTGATCTGCACCTTTTCCCCCTGGGTCATCAGACTTTGGGTGGGTGGGTACTAAGTTTGTAGTTTCAGTTGAGGACACAGTTAATCTTGCTTAGATAACTTTAGTCAATGTCATGAACAAGAGTTGATCACTAAGCCTGGACATTTTCACCTAGGCTAGAGAAAGGAAGAGACGTTGCTTTGCAGCCATCATCATCATCATCCTCTTGTTCCCTGTCTGTGTCTGCTACTTACTGCTGCTGGTACCTGTGTCATTTAAGCCAACACCAAGATATAGTTACAGAGACAGTTCCATTTATATTTGTGGGCTTGGCACAGCCTCCATGTGATGATCTTTGACGTGTATTGAGTGAACCAAATAATAGCTGCCCCTACATGACGAGTTGTGTTTTCCTTTTGTTTTGCTTTCTGAACTCTGACGTTAATGTTTCCCTTTGTTTTCTAGACCAAATGCTTCATCTGTGGGATAGGCAATGATTACTTCGACACAGTGCCACATGGCTTTGAAACCCACACTTTACAGGAGCACAACTTGGCTAATTACTTGTGAGTGTGCCCGTTTCAGAATCTTCCACCTCTCCAGTAGCCGCCACCAGTCCCCGCCCATCTCAGAATAGAGAGGTTTTTGTTTCTTGTTTAAAAAACAATCGCTGCAGATGCTTTAAAAGAAAGACCAACAGCTAATGGCTCTCGTTTCCTCTGGAGTAGGTTGACTTAAGAAGTTAAGTTGCAGCTCTTCATGTAAATGATACTTTCTAGAACTTGAAATGAAGAGGTGGACAGGGAGGAGCAGAGCCTCTCTGCGAATTGTGGTCACGTTTCTCATTTTAGATAAGATTTCCCAGGCTGCTTCCTAGGGAGAGGCGAGTCTCCGTTTTTCTTCTTACAGATCTTAAGAGGACTTTCAGATCTCGACAGGCACTGTTGGATACCAACTTAAAAGCTGCATTTCAAAAAATATTAATACATAGAAATCTTTCCATTACTTGAGATTAGCCAAAACTATACTTTGCTAAAATGCTGTTCTTACTCATTTTTGGACCCAATTTTAGTAACAAACAGAAGAGATGCCGAGTAGCATTATAGGGAAAAAAATTGGTCTAACTATACTCAATGGAACTTGATCAGTAAATTAAAACTTCTCCTTAAGCTAGTCTTCAGTTCTAATTCATCAGTGTTGATTTGATTCTGACCAGTGTGTATATTCCTAACTTGAAGCCTCTAGGGTCAAATAGCAGCAGATCAGAAAAGTCAGGTCAACAGCCTTTCCTCTTTCTAGTACGCTGTAATTTTTCCAAAAATTTGCATGTAGTATTTTCTCTGTGCTGGCCATAATTGAGTGCAGCATACAATTTATCTAAATATGCCCTGTTTATCCTAATATTTCCATACAGTTCATTTCTGATCAGTCTCTCTGTATCTGTAGGTTTTTTCTGATGTATCTTATAAACAAAGACGAAACAGAACACACAGGACAGGTAGGTAAATTATTACGTGTCATCTTCTGAAAGAAATTATAGAGAAGCTCTAAATATCAGAACAAAATGTGTGCATTAAACAGTGAGGGATGGAATTACTTTCAGATATTAGTTGTGGTATCTTGATATAAAGTTCCTGTTATGTTCAATGAGTATGGAAAAGATTGCCTTTGTTACAGTAGAATTCTATACTAATTTTATGTAAAACAATAAGCTTTTACTAACTGCAAATGCTGGATTTGAGTTTTGAATTCCATTATTTTAAAAAATTGAGTTCTTAATTATTGCATAATGTCCTTGATTGTTTAATCAGATAGATGATTTCCAATCAACTTCAAAGTATTATGTACAATGCATATTAAATGTCTAAGGCATTTAAGCTATTTGAAGTTCCTCTTCCAATGTGCAGTTAGTTTGAATTTGAAGGATACAATATTTTAAGAGAACCCTCAAAAGCATAAATGTATATTTATACACACACACATATACATATATATTTTTTGAGACAAGGTCTTGCTGTTTTCCAAGCCTGGAGTGCAGTGGCGTGATCAGAGCTCACTACAGCCTTGACTTCCTGGGCTCAATAAATCCTCCTGTTTCAGCCCCACAAGTACCTGAAACTACAGGCATGCACCACCACGCCTGGCTTTATTATATTATTATTATTATTATTATTGTAGTGCAGACAAGATCTTGTTATGTTGCTCAGGCTGGTCTCGAATGCCTGAGCTCAAGCGATCCTCCCACCTCAGCCTCCCAAAATGCTGGGATCATAGGCGTGAGCCAGTATGCCCAGCCAACATATTTTTAATCATTATTATGGTCAGGATGAAGATTATTACTAGAAGTTAATAAGGTCTGGTATAGTTAGTTAGGAACCATCTAAATGAATGTGGACTTCTATTGCGTGTGATATAGGTAAAAAAAATTGAGTTTCTACCTTATGTTTTGTTAGCACACAGGGGAAAATGTTAATACATTTCCTTGACTTTTACAGGAATCTTATGTCTGGAAGATGTATCAAGAAAGGTGCTGGGAATTTTTCCCAGCAGGGGATTGTTTCCGGAAACAGTATGAGGACCAGCTAAATTAAACAAACTCAGACCCCAATCACCTCTCAAAACCAAAACCCCACCCCTCTCTCAATTTCTCTGCTCTCTTGGAAACATTTTGCTGATTTTGTGAATTGCCAGCGCTGTGTGTTTTCTGGGAGCATCAAAACTCTGTTTCGGGAGACCTGTTTCCCCACCCCCCGCCACCGTCTGTATTTACGTTGAGACTAAACACGGAAGAATAATCTAAATTCATACTCAGACAAAAAAATGAATTCTGGAAAGAAAACCATTCTGGACACTGTCATAACACACATAGACAGATTTTCTTCTGAGGCTCCTGGAGTCTCCTCGAGCTACGGGACCTTCACAGAGACGCGTGGCAGCCACACTCACCCGGCCTCTTTATTTCACCATCCTGGAAGGAAGCTGTCTAATGGTCACAGAGCACTGTAGCACTTAACAGACTGCCATGGACACCAGTTGCGAAGGGAAATAGTGCCTTACTATATGTGGGTTGAGCTATGCAGAAGATATGTGCATGAAAAAACATCTTTATTTTCTTTATGTCGACCTTTCTTTTCTTAGATTGATTTTATGAGGTTTTTTTTTTTTTTCCTTTAGTCTTTTCTTTGGTGGGGGAGGGTAAGAAAAGCAGTTTGCACCTTAAAAAGAGAAAGAAAAAAAAAAAAGCGGGTGGTGTGTCTCAGGACAAAAGGAGGCTCTTCCTATTCAGCTAAATTCACATTTGCCCTCCCCCCACCCCCCGCCATATGCTCCTGCTATTATTTTGGTAATGCTCTGATGCAACATTGCAACTTTATGAAATCTTTGTATGAAAACAAAAAGACTGCAAAAAATACACTTTCAAAAGAAACCATTCATTGCATGTTTATTATGCAAGTTTAAATGAACAAAGAAAACCTTTGGAAACAAGTTGATCAACGTGAGAGAAATTTCATGATAATTATATTCATAGTAATAAAGTGTCGTGGGCTTAATTGTATATCTGGAGCCAGTGTCATCCACCAACAATGTGATACGTTATGAACTTGACAGTAGTTTTGGGCTTTTCTCTTTCTTTCAGCCACCTGTGATCAGTTTTGTTGATTAAGGACTTCTTGTCAGGTCATTTTTTAATATTAAAGCTGAAGCAATATCCATTCAGGGATTTCATCAGTTGCATCACAAAACACGGATGATAATATACATCACTCCATTTTTTTCCATTTTGAGTCCTTTTAAATGTAATGCTAACCTTTACAATTAAAAAGTCAGATTCAGAATGGAAACAAGGTCATTTTGCAAACATTGGAGCTCTTTTATTACAAGTCTGCTTGTTAATTTTAGAATTGTAAAACCGCTCTGATTAAACTATTTAACTAACTTTCTCATCCTCTTCTTTCTCCATTTAACTTACAACTGGGACTCATAAAATCTTGAGCTTCTAACTTGAGGTTGGTATAGGACAATCCCAAACACTGCACTGAGACGAACGCCGTCAGATTTCCTGGCACCTCTAAGACTGTTGTTGTATATATCATTGTGGGACCTCAGAGTCACCAGGCACCTGGCCTACCCCTGTCATTTCCCTGTTATATGGATCAGGTAGACCTCTTGAAAACCTCCAATGACAGAAAAAAAAAATCGCTTATCTCCCAGATTATTTAATTCTTATATAACTCTCATTTTAGAAAGCTCTTCCTTGCTCAGGGCAAATTCATTTCCTATAATAGGAGTTCATTTTCCGTCTTAATATGAAAGGGAATCAGTACCCTAGTATATGGTGTATTAAACATTCAAAAACCAATTGAACATTTGCTGTGTGCAAAGTACTGCTGTGGGTATCGGTGACTTCTCTGTCATCTTACACCTTACCAGCTCAACATCACAGTGCTGGTCTCTAGATTTTGCCTTTGTCTTCTGGTATCACTTTTATGTGAGGAAAGGAATAAACTTGGCTGTACCATAGGAATTTTCAAGCCTGTTCAGGGAGGTGATCTGATGCTCTGAAGACTCTGAATAAAATAAATGAGGTCAGCTCCACAAAACATCAAAGAGTGCACTGCCGTTTGCCATGCAACACTGCAGAGCAAGCATCTAGTGGAGAGGAATGAATATTTTTCCAGGACATGAAGTCCACTGATAGATTCAGGTGTTCTAGTTATAATGCCCAAATCAGAGGTGACACAAAGCAACAGTACAGGTGGGAAGTGAGTGAATCAACGCATAGCTGCCTCTAGATTTTGCAGGCTCTTCAATAGGCTCTCCTGACGGCGCCCAGCTCTACAGTTCTGGGAGGTGGCAGAAGGACTCTGAGAGAAAGAGGGGCTGGGATTTGGGACACATGAGTGTTGGAAAAAGAGGAAAGGAACAGAGCTGGTTACTGGAGAAAGTCACACTTCCCAGCCTCCTCACGGGCCCACCATTAGAGGAAGAACCCTCTTCCTTCCCTTCTCAAGGCCTCCAAAGAGAAGAGGAAGCTTTTCTTTATCAGCATGAATTCCCCCAGGAAATGGCTCAGTGAATCTCAAACACAATGTAGCTCTCCACTTCTCTAATTCAACTCAGGACTGCGTGACCCAAAGTCAAGAAATGGAATCCTTTTAGAAATACTAGACCAATATTCAAACATTCACCCCCACAAGAATTCTAATGAACACCCACATATCCCTATTCTCAGCTACAACACTTAGAGACATCGTTCTGTCCTTATTTCATCTGTTCCTCTCCTTTTTTTCCCTTAGAAACAGCTTTTGCATCTACACCATAAAATAAGTTCATATTCACCATTTAAGTTGAAGTTTTCCAAATGCCCCCGGTCATCAGTGTCCACTGGTACTCCTCGGAGGGTCATTTTTCGTGTGCTGGAGACAGTTTGTTCTCAGTCCCACAAGAACTCATTTAAAAGTCATATTGTAATGAAAAGACTTTGTAAAAATTATATCTTGGAAAATTGTACATGTTTTCACTATCTTGCTTCACCAGGGAAATGTTCATATTTTTCTGAAGCTCTTGTTTTCTGGGTGAATATACCAATTCGATACCTGTTGTTAAGGTGTTTGGGTGGCTGTACGTGGCGAGTGCCTCCTTTACTCTGGGCACAGTGAAAGAGAACTTTTTGAAAATACACTTACCCAAACATGGAATGCAGGTAAACTTGACATGGAACAGGCTTGAACAGTTAGACATTCCCCAGATTATTTCATAAATCTCCATTGTGTTGCGAAGAGAATGACCTGTCACCTTCCTGAGAACATTTCTGCCCAGCACTCAAAAATGTCTGTGATAGTCACTGCTTCAATAGCATCCGAATCTTGATAGGAGTGCATGGATGGAGTCGGGGCTTTTTAATAGCCATAAATATTAATAGCACACATCTCTCACAGAACAAAGTTCAGTATCCTTTCATCTAAAATGGTATAATTTAATTGTATGGCCAATGTGAATCTAAAGCAGGTAATTAAAAATAAATACTTAAAAAGTTTCATGTTCGCAAAACCACAGTTTCACCTACCAACCCTGCACATCCATATGTTCCAATTCCTTTCATAAATTTTATATTTATTTTCTTCCCGGAAATCTATGAACTTCATGTATGTGCATACTATCTTCATTAAGCATGGCTAAATAGGCCTTTTAATTTTTATTCACAAAAAAAGAATATTTTTATAGGTCTGGTTAACAACATCAAGTATAACAGGTAATGATCCTAACATGAGCAATACTATATTGATGTGTAAGCAGAAACTATCATTTTTTTTAAAGACCAAACCTAAAAGTTGTTCCACATAATTTGAATTACCTGCAGTTGAGCCTCATACTAAAAAATGTATAAAAATTAGATATACATCATATTTTACATGTCAATTCAGAAATGTAGATCTAGGCAGATGTAATGTCAAGAATAAGAATGATAGATGACCTTGAAATGATGTGACTCTTAATTGCCAGAAGGAGAAATTGGAAATATCTACTTAAACTTTTAATATTATGGCCAAGCTACAGGGCCTCCCACCTACACAAAATGAAGAGGAATGAAACAGAACCCTTGTCAATATGAGTTAGTAAAAATTCATGACCCAATTATTGTCAGTTTATTCTTTTATTTTACACGCAAGTAGAAGAAAATCAATTAAGTTTTTTTTTTTTTTTAAGCCAGTGAGAAACTGGTAGAAACTCTTACGGTTTTGTTTAAAGAGTATAAATTATGAAATGAATTCCTGCATATTAAAATGTCATGAAGAGTAAGTTCCAGAATGAGTTGAGGCTAAATGCTACACACACACAAATAGTTTAGCCTATAATTGCAGCACTTTGGGAGGCTGAGGCAGGTGGATGACTTAAGGTCAGGAGTTTGATCACCAGCCTGACCAACATGGCAAAACTCCCGTGTCTACTAAAAATAAAAAAATTAACAGGGCATAGTGGCACATGCCTGTAATCCCAGCTACTCAGGAGGCTAAGGCAGGAGAATCACTTGAACCCAGAAGGCGGAGGTTGCAGTGAGCCGAGATTGCACCACTGCACTCCAGCCTGGGTGACAGAGCAAGACTCTGTCTCAAAGAAGAAAGAAGAGTTTGTACTCCATACTTGGCATAACAAACAAAAAATGAATTGTTCCCTGTTTATCATATGTAGTATCTACAAGGTATCCTCTTGGCTTGGGTTCTCATGACTCTAACCTGAGGCAAAGACTGACATAATTATGCTTCATTGGGGCCCCTACGACTGCAAGTATGAGGAAAGCAGTGCAGTGAAAGACCTGCAGCAATGCTAATGAATGCATGAGCACCCCAGCTGCTGCTCTACCACGAGCCAGGAAGAGCAACAGAGCTGTTCAGCAGGGGCCTCCAGTCGGAACACTGGAGCTTCACCAGTCATTCTGTAAAGAGAAATAGTGTCTTGGAGTCATCCAAGGGAGGGAGACAGAATAGGAATGAATCTGCTACTTGTCTTCCATCTCTTATTTCTAACTGGTCAAAGGTCACCCCAAGGTACAGCAAGTCCCCCTCCAACTGCTGGATGGAATCATCCGACCTCTAGGAGTTCATTCTGGATACTGGATCCATACCCTGTAGTAGGCAGTTATAGCCAAGGCTGGTAGTAGCAGAAGAGCCAGAAACCCTGGGTGCAGCTGGTCAGCCTGGCTATATAAGGGGATCCAAAGGGCCCAACATGCTAAGGACAAGAGACTGGGCAGCCCCAGGCAGAAGAACCATGAAGAATGTCTGGTGCAGGAAGTGGAGGTGGAACCAGTGGCTGGAAGCCCAGGAAGCAGGTGGCACCAGTGAAATCTGAAGAGGCACAAGAGGTTTGAGTCTGAGGCAAGTGTCCCTCATGTGATTTTTCTTTGGCTTTTTATATGTTTTAAATGTTTAACAATAAAAAATGAGTGACAGGGAAAAAGTAGCTGCTAAGTTTGGATAATATGGAATAATGCTAACATATCACAGAATAAAAAATACTATCATCTACTTCTATTTCCTCCAACAAAGAGAATGGTACAATTATTTGTATAAAAAGAAACATAGATGGTCTGCTCAAATTTAAAAAATACAAGTTCCCAAAGACATTTCAGAAAAAAAAAAAAAAAGTTTCAATTTTGTTCCAAGAATTGATACAGCCACTTGTTAGAAGCAATAAAAAGATAAATTTTACCCAACTTTACCATGGTCTTCTAATACTTCTGCCCAAGAGTAGGCGAGGCCACTTTGGATGGTTTAGTGCTCCCATGAGAAGTGTTTAAGTACAAGCTGCACCGTAACTTTTCAGTATTACAGAAAGCATGCTCAGTTTAGATGCATAAAAGTCATCTGGAGGCAGCCAGAGGGAACAGCTCCCACCCAGGGATCCAGATGACAGGTGTGCTCTTAACAGATCTTCAGAGGGAGGGCACCCAGAGTGGATGGAGGGAGGACACAGAAGCTGGGCTGAAGGGGAGAAAGCTGGGAACACTGCATGGGGGAACTCATTCCTGGTCCCCAGTGGCTCCAGGGAAATGGGTCAGTAGAACTGGCAAGGAGCAATCCATTCTCGCCACAGGCCTCCAGAACCCCAGCAGGAGGAGACCCCTTGACCACCATGAACACTCAAGTTAGCAGGGAGAGCTGCTTAGAGAAGTGGTAGCAAGCCTCCTAAGGGCAGCAAGCCAGCTGATGTGGAGCCCAGAGGGTTTGGTGCGGGAGTGTTTGTAGCAGAGCACAACCAGGGATGGCCATCCCCCTAGGCATGGCTTGCTCCCATAGGAGACTTTAGCCCTAGGGGAGCTGTCTGATCTGAACTCCGCAGGGCAGTCTTGCACATCATAGAGGGCCAGATCGACCTGAGCACCCCTTGGTCTGCTGGCCTCTCCTGGGGCCCCAGCCTGGCCATGCCTGCTTGCAG